TGGGGATCGAACTTAGGACCTTAGGACCTTGTGCTTGCCAGGCAGGCGCTGGTACCACTGAGCTAAATCTCCTGCCCATGGTTTGGTTTTTTGAAATGGGGTCTCGCTATGTAGTTCAGGCTGACCTTAAACTCACTCACTTTGTAGCCCAGGTTGGCCTCAAACTTATGGTGTTCCTCCTGCCTCTGCCACCTGAGTGTTGGGATTACAGGCGTGTGCCACCATGCCCAACTCCAAATTACTTTTTACATTTTAAGGTCCTAAGATTAAATCTGTAATGGTTTAGTATTTTTGTGTTTTTCTTAATAGGCAATCTTCGCTCGCTTGTTACTTCAAGATCCAGGAAACCATTTGATTAATATGACTTCTTCTACAACATTAAACCTCTCTGCTGATCGAGATGCGGGAGAGAGGCACATTTTTTATTACCTTTACTCCTGCTTCCAAAGAGCCAAGGAAGAGGTAAAAGAATAATTTCCACTGAATACTATATCATCATCTTGGGTATAACTTTAGCACATAAAAGAGAATTGGATCAGTGACTTATATATCAGTTTATATCCATCATAGTATATCTGGAACTGGATACCAGAAGCAATATGAGTTTGTCCAAGCCTTAGTCTCCTTTCTATAATGGAGTTCATCTCTCCCCGCAGTTAACCAGTGCCTTCTGTCTGTGTCCAACCCTTTTAGAAACCACACCTTTAAAAACAGATCTGAAAAATTCATTTCCACTGAGGTGTAAATGTTAGAATAGGCTAAGCATGATACTCCCAAGATTGGAATTTTAACAGGTAAGTGTTAAAGCCAAATAGTGAATCTGTCATAAATTTTCAAGCACACAAGAGATACTTGAAATATTGCACATATCTTTTCCAAGTATTTTTCTGTGTCTGCCCTGATTCCACATAGATCATTATATTCTCTCTCTTCTTCATGCTGCTTCCAGATTACCAAAGTCCCAGAGAACCTGCTCCCCTTTGCGGTACAGTGCAGGAACCTCACTGTGTCCAATACCCGAACAGTTCTCCTTACCCCAGAGATCTATGTTGACCAAAACATCCCTGAGCAACTGGTAGATTTGATGTTGGAAGCCATCCAAGGAGCTCGTAAGTACATAAGATTAGTGACCTACATCTTTTTTAGGAAGTCTCAGAGTCATTACAGTTCTGGTATAAATTAAGAAAGAGAACTTACACCTTGATCCTTAGGATTGAATACCACTATAAGTATCAGGAGAATCAGAAGAAGTAAAGAGCCAGTATATGAAAGCAATAAAAATTCCTGCCAGGTGTGGTGGTGCATAGCTATAATCCCAGCACTATGGGAGGCTGAGGCAGGAAGATCACAACTTCAAGGCCAACTTGGGCAACTTAGGGAGACCCTGTCTCAAAACTTTAAAAAGGCTGGGGATGTAGCTCAGTGGGAAGGCCCTGGGTTCAGTCCCCACCAAAAAAGAAAATTTAGGGGCCAGGGATTTAGCTCCGTGCCGCCGCCTGCCTCGCAAGTCCAAGGTCCTAAATTTGATCCCCAGTCTAAAAAAAAAAATTTTTAAAACTTCTGGTGGTCTCCTTTCTCTCATTTGTCTTCTATTAGATTTTGAAGATGTAACTGAGTTTCTAGAAGAGGTCACTGAAGCCCTGATACTGGATGAGGAAGTTCGAACATTTCCTGAAGTCATGATTCCAGTGTTGGATATTTTGTTGAGTCGAATTAAAGATCTAGAGCTCTGCCAGATCCTACTGTATGCATATCTGGATGTTCTTCTCTATTTCACTAGGCAAAAAGATATGGCAAAGGTAGGTTGGAAAAGTGCTGTATATTTGAGGAGCTGGAGATTATTAAATTCATGCTTTCCTGTCCTAAGAAAACTATAATATTACCTATAGAATAAGAGAAAAATGGATTAGTTGTTGTACAGATGTAAGTCTTTGAGGCTCCATCACCTGTATCTCACCATACAGACATATAAATAGGATTTATCTCCTCCTACAGGTTTTTGTAGAATACATTCAGCCCAAGGACCCTAGCAATGGGCAAATGTACCAGAAGACCTTGTTGGGAGTCATTCTGAACATCTCCTGCTTATTAAAGACTCCAGGTGTGGTAGAAAATCATGGCTACTTCCTGAATCCATCTCGTTCCAGTCCTCAGGAGATCAAAGTACAGGAGGCCAACATCCATCAGGTAGAACTGTTTCTCAGGGCACCCTAGCCCCCTGCTCTTAGACTGTTATAGAGTCTCCTCAGATAAGACTGCTTGAGCTTCTTTGGAGAAGCAAATTAGTCTGGTTGGCTTTTCCACGGTGGTGTAAAGAAACTGCCCTGTTTGTAGCATGCACTAAGAGCAGAGGATAAACCTTCCTGTAGAGTCAGAATGAGCTGCTGCAGCCTTTGCCCTGTGCAGGAGCCCTGCTTCTTCCCCTCAACCTTTGCCCTTCTCATCAAGCTTTTTCTTATCACTTAGCTCCTAAAATCTTTTGACTAAACTCCAGCTTAAATCCATTTTTTTTTCTTTCCTTTTTCCACCTACACCTTCTCTGTTTGGACCTCTTAGTATAAACTATGGTAGAGGTCTGTCCAACATGAGGCATTTAAATGGTTGAATTAGGGATAATTTAAGTCTCCTAGTCACCATTTAATCATCACAACTCTGTTGGTAAGCAAGTATTATCAAACAATAGCAGTGACCAAAGCAGTCTGCCAACTGTTTTTGTAAATAAAGTTTTACTAAGGGCCCATGTCCATTCATATGTAATTTTTATGTCTTTGTTTCATGCTACAATGTTTAAACTGTATAATTCTCCCCAGTGACCATAAGATAAGCAAAGCCAAAAATATTTATCATCTAGTGGTTTGCAAAAAAAAGTTTACCAAGCCAGGTGTGGTAGCCTATGCCTGTAATCCCAGCACTCGGGAGGCTGAGGCAGGAGGATTGCCATGAGTTCGAGGCTGGCCTAGGCTACATAGTTCAAGGCCAGCCTGAATTACAGAGCAAGGCCCTGTCTCAAAAAAAAACAAACCCACTATAAAACTAAGCCCTGAGCCGGGGATTTACCTCAGGGGTTCTGCCACCTGCCTTGCAAGTGCAAAGACCCGAGTTTGATCCCCAGTACCAAAAAAAAAAACAAACAACAACAACTAAGTCCTGCTGTCTACAGTTTGACAGGTGAGCAGAAAAATCTCAGGAAACCTACTTTTTAAAAGTCAGAACCAGAGGATAAGGTACAAGGAGAGTAAGGGAAAACATGAGGATTAGAAATTTAATAGTTGCTAAGGTTTGAGAGTAAAAAACTATCAGGATTGTGAAACTGGAATGTTCTGTGATTGTGTTTTTCTGGCTAAACAGTTCATGGCCCAGTTCCATGAAAAGATCTACCAGATGCTGAAGAACTTGCTCCAGCTCTCTCCAGAAACCAAACACTGTATCTTGTCCTGGCTTGGAAACTGTTTGCATGCAAATGCAGGCCGCACCAAGATCTGGGCAAATCAAATGCCAGAAATCTTCTTCCAGATGTATGCCTCAGATGCCTTCTTTCTGAATCTGGGTGCTGCTCTCCTGAAGCTGTGCCAGCCATTTTGTAAACCCAGATCCTCTCGGCTCCTCACCTTTAATCCCACTTATTGTACCCTGAAGGAGTTGAATGATGAAGAACGAAAAATTAAAAATGTACACATGAGAGGTAGGGGGAAACTGGGCTTCTCAAAAGTGTGTGTGTGTGTGTGTGTGTGTGTGTGTGAAAGAGAGAGAGAGAGAGACATTGAAGGCAATCACTCATCCTTTTTTATAAAGTGCCTCTTTCTCAAAAGATGAGGTGAAAGCTATGCCTAGTGGTACATACCTATAATTCTAGCACTCAGGCGGCTGAGGCAAGAAGATCACAAGTTTGAGGCCAGCCTGGGCTACACAGCAAGTTAAAGACAATTAAAAAAAAAGTGTAGCTTTTATTTTTCTTCCAGTACCAGAAATCGAACTCAGGACCTTGTGCTTGCTAGGCAGGCACAATTCCAATGAGCTACATCCTCGGCCCTAATATACTTTTTTTGTGTAGCTTTTAATGTTTTGCTTTAGACTTTTTCTCTGGATTTGGCAGCCTTGAGTATTCACTCATTATAAAAATGAATAAAACATAGCTGCTGTTCTTGTTGAACTCAGAGGCTCCAAAAGAAAGGAGATATGTTAGTAGATGGTTATACTATGACATAGGACTAAGTTATGGGAGCACAGAGAAGGGAGTGAATAATCAATTGTGTAGAAGTTGGGGCTGTTAATAGGTGAGTCTTGAAAGATGACTGGATTTTACCAGGCGAAGAGGCAAGAGCATCTCTTTATACAAAGGGAATAATAAAGGAAGAGCCACAAAGCTGTGAAAAGTCTTGACTATGGAATAATTAAAAGTTCAGAAGGCCAGGGATTTAGCTCAGTGGTGCTGCCACCTGCCATGAAAGTGCAAGGACCCAAGTTCAATCCCCAGTCCAAAAAAAAAAAAAGTTCAGAGCAAGGGGTGGGAGGTGGAGGAAACAGGTCTGGGAAGAAGAATGTTGGGGCCAGACTGGAGAAAAGTTAAATAATTACAGAAAATTGAAAAGAAGAAAAGAATACTACCGATCAGAATGAATCACTTCTTACTTTTTATATATTTCCTTTCAGTTTTGTATCTGTAAAAGTGACACCTGCTTAATGGGTGTGGTGGGACATGCCTGTAATCCCAGCATTTGGGAGGCTCAGGCAGGAGGATCACAAGTTGGAGCCCACTCTGGGATACATAGTGAGTTCAAGACCAGACTGAACTACATAGCAAGAGCCTGTCTTTAAAAAAACAAAAAGTGGCACCTACTCAAAAGGAAATAATTTTTTTTTTCCACAGTACCAGGGATTAAACTTAGAGCTTCATACATGCTAGGCAAGCCCTCTACCACTGAGCAACATCTGCAGCCCTTTTTTTTTTTAATTTTATTTTAAAATGGTCTTGCTCAGTTGTTGTCAAACCCCCAAGTTGGCAAGGATTATAGGTACACAATACTGTGCCCAGCTTTTTTTTTTTTTTTCTTAAAGAGTAGGAAAAATTTATTGAGAGAAAGATAGCTTCTGTTTGAGAGACAAAAGGGGGCCATACCCAGCCTTAAAATCAAGTCTTGGGCCAGGGATTTAGCTCAGTGTTTCTGCTGCCTGTCCCGAAAGCACAAGGACCCGAGTTCGATCCCTGGTACCAAAAAAAAAAAAAAAAAAAATCAAGTCTTAAATACAGAAAAGCACAGAATAGAAACAAATAGTCCATTGCCTCTCACTTAGGAAAATCTACAGTATTATCATTGTTTTTAATTTTTCATAATTTCACTGGTCAAGCCAGAGCATTAAACTATTTCTGTGGATAGCAAGAAGCCAAAAAGTCCTTTTAGGCAAGGAAATAATGTAATGAGATTTGTTTTGAAGAAGATATTACTGCTAGCAGTATGGAAGCTGAACAAGTGTAAGAGGGAAAGAACACCAAGATAGATGTATGTGACAATCCATTTACTGTTCATTTTTACTTTGAGGTTTGGACAAAGAAACCTGTTTGATCCCAGCTGTGCAGGAGCCAAAGTTTCCCCAGAGCTACAACCTTGTAACAGAGAACCTTGCCTTGACAGAGTACACCTTGTACCTAGGATTTCACAGGTAACTCCTTTGATGTCATTAGGAAAGAACTATTTAATTGTGTTGAGAACCAGGTTAAAAGTGCGCCTTAGAGATTTATTCTAAAGGCACACGTTAGAATCTAGTGGGGAAAGGCCACAGTATGTATTTATTTGTGTTTACATGAGTCACCTTTGTCCAGGTTACTTAAATTTCTTTTTGATTTTTCACTTATTAACTTTTAAAATTAAAATAATATTTTTCTGCCGGGTATGTTGGCGTACACCTGTAATCCCAGCACTCAGAAGGCTGAAACAGAATCATTGCAAGCTCAAGGCCAACTTAGCTACATAGTTCAAGGCCAGCCAGAACTACATACCAAGACCCTGTTTCAAAACACAAAACCAAACAATTTTTTTTTCTTTATATTTTTTTTAAGTCACTACTTTCCTGTTGTCATCTGGGGAAGTGTAATTATCTTACATTTCATTTTCTAATCTTGAATTCTCATTGTTTCTCCTGATGAAAAAGACCACGCTCCGCTCTGTAGTGTAGGGACAAAATTGGCAAAAATTAAGAAAATATTGATAAGGGATTCCAATGAGACCAATACAACCACAAAAGTTCTGTGTATCTAAGATAAAGAGGATTCTAGAATGTGAAGGTTTGAGAACTAAATTGTATAACTTCCAAAAAGGAATTTAGTTCTGCCTAGCCATACGTCATTCTACAATTTTTTTCTCTTATTTTGCTGAGTATAGGGGCTGGGGATTTAGCTCAGTGGTTCTGACGTCTGCTGCACAAGCGCAAGGACCCGAGTTCAAGCCCCAATACCAAAAAAAAAAAAAAAATTTTGCTGAATATGACTATAAATAAGGGGAATAAATAACAAGTCAGTCATAGTTTCAGTTTACAGCAGGAGTTCTTTGGAATTAGCAAATCTTAAAGCTTTCTCAGGATACTTGAATTAACATGGGATTTTTTCAAAACTTAACAAATTACTGGAAATATGAAAAGAAGTTCAGCATGTGCTAATCTAATGATACAGAATCAAACACAAAAATGAATGTCACTACTTTGCCGGTAGCCAGCCCTAGATGTTATCTATATAGGACCAGAGGAAATTATTTTGGACTGTACACATAGAATCAATTATCCATAGCTTTAAATTATAGGCCTTCCTTTCAGTAGAAAAATGTTTGGGTAAACTTTTGTGAAGACTAATTTAATTTTACATTTAACAGCAAAGAGCTAGAGCTGCACTTAGGTTGCATCCCAGCTGGTAGCTATTTTACATGGGTTGTACTACGTCTAAAAAGACCAACCATCCATATAACCCTATCAAAGCATAATCATTACACTTGTGACCTATAAAACTACCCCACTCAGCTTCTTATATTTCCTATTACTATTTTTTTTATATATATAATAACAGCCCACTCTGCATCCCACTCGAAAAAGCTATGGTGCATTTCAACTGAAGGCTGTTAACTCTTTGTAATTAGCTTCAGTTTTGTTGAATGCTTGGTAACGTTTTCCCAGGGCTACGAACCTTGTCTCTGTCTTGTCAGTAACTTTCATGAGTACCTTCTTTGTCATTGTGACTGCAGTTCTGTACATCCTCAAAGAGAATGCTAGAATAAATACATGAGGGTTTGTTTTTCTGGAATGGTCTATAGTCGACTATCCCCACATGAGCCTCCCTGACCCAGTCTCTTCTGCTTTCTTGGGGGCAGGTTACATGATCAGATGGTAAAAATCAACCAAAATCTGCATCGGCTGCAGGTTGCCTGGCGGGATGCTCAGCAGAGTTCTAGTCCTGCTGCTGACAATCTCCGTGAGCAGTTTGAACGACTGATGACCATCTATCTTTCTACCAAGACTGCCATGACTGAGCCACAGATGCTGCAAAACTGCCTAAATTTGCAGGTGTCCATGGCTGTTCTTCTGGTTCAGCTGGCCATAGGCAATGAGGGCTCACAGCCAGTAGAGCTAACTTTTCCTTTGCCAGATGGCTATAGCTCTTTGGCTTATGTGCCAGGTAAGCAGGCTGTCCCTCGGGAACTTCCTATTTATAGCCAGCTAAGTTTAACTGGGTCACTTTGGAAGTTTAATCTTCAAAATGCTGTTCCTTAGTTATCATTTGGTTGCTTTTGGAGAAACAGTTCCAACTTCTAAATATCTACTGGTCAGAGTATGAGGGCGCTAACAATATGTTCCTCAACCTTATGTTCCTCCTAACATACAAATCAGAAAATAGTCTTCGAAAAACTAAGTGCAAACAGGGTTTTCATAGCTATTAGTCTCTCATTAATATTGTTGGTCATTCAACTTATAAATTTGTCTAACCTCTCCTTGTGCTTTTTCTAGAAAAAACAAATCAGGGCCAGGGATTTAGCTCAGTGGTTCCACTGCCTGCCTCGCAAACACAAGGTCCTGAGTTCAATACCCGGTACCAAAAAAAAAAAATCATGTGTCAGTTAACACAGAAGGGAAATTGTATATATGTATGTCAGTGAGGGGTCAGCAGATATGATCCTTTGAGTCAGGTTAAATGTTCTTGATCACTATTGGTCAAATATTGCTGTTGAAAAAGAAACAAGCTATATTACATATGTGTACCAACTCCCCAAGATGATTGTAAAATGAATGTACTAATAAAATAAAAATATATATATTGCTGTTGAACGAATTACCCAAAAATATAGCAGGTAAAAACAATACGCCAGGCCAGGGATTTAGCTCAGTGGTTCTGCCACCTGTCTCACAAGTGCAAGGTCATGAGTTCGATCCCCGGTACCAATACGCCAATGGCTGGACATGGTGATACATGCCTGTAATCTCCACTCTGGGAGGGTGAGGCAGGAGGATTGCAAGTTTAAGCCCAGCCTAGATAACTCAGTGACTTAGCAAGACCCTGTCTCAGAATAAAAAAGATGAAAAAAGGGCTGATGATGTAGCTCAATATGAAGGCCCTGGATTCAATCCCCAGTACTTCCAAAAAAAAAAAAATCTTACACAGTATATCTGGGTCAGGAATCCAGGTGTACTCAACTGCATGGTTCTGACTCAGAACCTCACGTGGTTGCAGCCACACTGTTGATCAGGGGCATACGGATCTGGGAACTCAATTAGGGCTGAAGGATCCACTTACAAGCCCAGTCATATGGTTGTTGACAGGCCTCAGTTTGGACAGCAGCCTCTTTTCCAAGCCCCATGCATCATCTTTCCTTAATACTGCTTATGATATAGTAGTGGCTTTCCCCAGAGTAAGAACCCAAAACAGAAGCTATAAAGCTTTTATACCTAGTCTTGGAAATGACACACTGTCACTTCTGCTGTGTACTTCAGGATGTATTTTCTGCCCTGGAAGAATGTAGGAAGGGACTGCACAAAGGCAAGAAGACCAGGAGATAAGGATCATTGTGGGTCAACCCCAGAGGCTGGCTACCATAGTCATCACATATAAAAATTGTGATAGCAATTCTTCAGACACCTAAAGGATTGTTTAAATTTAAATGATAGCTGACCTTGAGAGTAGAAATCAGTATACCAGTGTGTTATATCATTATGGTTCATATATTTACTTGGATAAATATAAAACTGCAAGCCAGCACTCTAGGAGGCTGAGGCAAGAAGTTTGCAAGTTTGAGCCCAGTGTAGGCAACTGAGCAACTTAGCGAGATCCTGCCTCAAAATAAAAAATTAAAACAGGGCTGGGAGTATAGCTCAGTGTGAAGGCCCTAACTTCAATCTGCAAGAAATAAAAATAAAACTACAGGGCCCAGGATTTAGCTCAGTGGTTCTACCACCTGCCTCACAAGTGTAAGGTCCCGAGTTCGATCCCCAGTACCAAATAAATAAATAAAACTACCAAGAATTTACATTTAAATGAGATCCTACATTCATTAACTTATCACCATCCCTAGTTTTATAAGACCTTTGGTGGGTTTGTTTTTAACCTTCATTAAGTAGCATGTAAGGGAAGTATTTAAATGTTTAGTACCAGTAGAGATGTGTCTAATTCCAGTGAACATTTTATTTTTCAGAATTTTTTGCAGATAACCTGGGTGATTTTCTCATTTTTCTCCGCCGTTTTGCTGATGATATCTTGGAGACATCAGCAGATTCCCTGGAACACATCCTTCACTTTATCACCATTTTTACTGGAAGCATAGAAAGGTGAAGTGCTGAAAGCGGAGCTTTGTCACTGTTTAGAGCTGCAAAACCTCAGATTTCTAAACCAAGAAATAAGCCTGACTCATAAGGCTTATTGAGATGCTCTGTTAACATTAATGAATCACCTGACCATCCTATGGGTAGCCAAAGATCCCACTGTTGAGAGCCATTTGAACCTGCATATGAGGTACCAGATGGGATTTCCACTGCTAGTTGCTGGTTAAAATAGTTCCCATAATGCCAGAAGCCTTACCAGAGGCCACCAGGCACTGATGCTCCTCTGCTAATTCTATGGTAACAGTGCTTGCTCTTGCTGTTCTGAGTTGGATGAGTAGTAAACTGAATCAAATCTCTCTCATCTTTCTAATCCTCTTTCCCATAGGAAGGTACCATGGCTTTTAGACTAGCCTCCCTAATTTTTTTGTTGCATAGGCCAAAAGAAACAAGAATTCTATGTACAAAAGTGCATATTTACTACACAGTAACAAGAATGACCTACAATTCTCTGAGCCATATTAATGAAAAGTAGGTAGAAGTTAACCCTTCACTGAGCAGAGCAGACCTAATAAGAAATGTAAGTCAGCTAGTATTTATTAGGCACACACAATATGCATTTGTGGGTTATAAGGTAATTATAACCTAATCCTTATCCCCAGAAAGCTTGGGAAGGCAGGTTTAGCTGAGATGAAATTGTGAGAGAATAGTATGCAGTAAATAATGCATTATGGAGAAGAAAATCGAATGGCTAGGCATTAAATAAAAACTAAGTTCTCACCCTCATACTGGGTAGGCTGTTATCTAAAGTGTCAAATGATGTACCCTGCATCACCCCAGTACTGACAAGACTTAAAACTACAGAGGTGGACTGGCCCCTTATGTAGAGAGAACAGAACCATAAACTGGGGAGTCAAGTTTACATGTTCATCTTGCTTTCTGCTCTTTTTGCAGAATGAAGAATCCACACCTAAGGGCCAAACTAGCCGAGGTGTTGGAAGCAGTAATGCCTCACTTGGATCAGACCCCAAATGCCTTGCTGTCCAGTGTGTTCCACCGGAAACGTGTGTTCTGTAACTTTCATTATGCACCCCAGCTTGCAGAAGCTCTAATCAAGGTTTTCGTGGACATTGAGTTTACAGGTAAAGCTGTCATGCAGCCAGGTCCAGAACTGAGGAGCTAATACCACTGGAGTTTCATAGCTTGATCACTTTCTGAACATCAGAGGACTGTCAAAGACATCATTTATTGAATGTCTACTATGTGCCACATTGATGCCAAGTGTTTTGTTTTGTTTTCAACTGAAGACTGAACCCAGGGCCTTCCCTAACCCTTTTTTTAGATCACACTTAAGTTGCCCAGGTTGGGCTCAAACTTTTCAATCCTCCTGCCTCAACCTCAGCACTCATGCACCACCATGCCCAGCTTCTGCTTTTTTTTTTTGGTACCAGAGGTCGAAGTCAGGTCCTTGCACTTGCGGGGCAGATGGCAGAACCACTGAGCTAAATCCCCAGTCCTCTGCTTTTTAAAAATAATCATATCATTGGGCTGGGGATTTAACTCAGTGGCACCACACCTGCCTGAGTTTGATCCCCGGTATAAAAAAAAAAAAGAGTAAACTAGGGATGGGGATATAGCTCAGTGGTATAGGGCTTGCTAGTATCTATGAGCCCCTAGGTTCAATGCCTAGCACAGCAAAAAATAAAAAATAAAAAGATTATTTGTCCATGTCATACATGCACTAAGTGGTAGAACCAGCTCCCTTTCACCAAAAAAAAAAAAAACCTACATATTCTTATCAACCACATTATATTGTTTGGTGAAATCATACTCCATCAAGTTAGGCTATCTAATGAAAACCTGAGTCTTTGTTTTTCTTTGCCTGAAAATGTTAGAATGGGGGCCTAGGATTTAGCTCAGTGGCACCACGCCTGCCTCGCAAGCACTAGGTTTCTTTAGTACTGAAGATGGAACCCAGGGCTCTCTACCACTGAGCTACATTCTCACACTCTTTTTTTTTTTGGTACCAGGGATCGAACTTGGGACCTTGTGCTTGCGCAGCAGGCAACAGAACCACTGAGCTAAATCCCCAGCTAGGTTTCTTTATTATATAACTCAACTGTAGAGCAGGATAAACCTATGATTTTTAAGCATGGGCCTGATTTTTCGAAAAATCAAGAACTTCCTAAAAAAGAAAAAGAACTAACTTCCTACATGGTTGGGATGTAGTCTGTGAAGAACATGGGGATTACTTAGTGTCCTGCTCTGCACACAACTGTCCCCATCTAACGCCAGCCCAGCAGCCTCACTCAGGTAGTGCACATTGAGATGTAGAAACAGTTCCTTTAGCTTTTATTTGACAGCGTGGCCCTCATCCCTTGCTGAGTAATGTATCCTTTAGATTTGTTTTCTCTTTGTTTTGTAAGTAAGGGGATGAGCAACTAGTTGACCCAACTCTATGTAGGCTTTTTTTTTTTTTTGGAACCAGGGATTGAACTCGGAACCTTGTGCCTGGGAGGCAGGCGGCAGAACCACTGAACTAAATCCCCGGGCCTATGTAGGCTTTTAGAAACTCCTAGGGAAGATTTTGCCAGTCACCTTGATACATTCTGAATAGAAGAAAATGACAACACAGATAGAAGCTCCTACTCATTCTCTAATGGACCACATTTGCTGATCTCTCACTCTTCTCTTACTCTAGGAGATCCCCATCAATTTGAACAGAAGTTTAATTATCGCCGTCCCATGTATCCCATCCTAAGATACATGTGGGGGACAGAGTCCTATCGGGAGAGCATTAAGGTGAGAGGATTTTTGGTGAGATTAATTACTTCAGATAAATCCAACCACATGGTGACTCAGTACTAAAACAGTTTTCTCTTCTTTCAGGATTTGGCCGACTATGCCTCTAAGAATTTAGAAGCCATGAATCCCCCACTTTTCCTCCGCTTTCTTAACCTGCTAATGAATGATGCCATCTTCCTTTTGGATGAAGCCATACAGGTTTTAAAAAAATTTTTTTAACTGCTCTTACACCAGCAAATTATCATCAGTACTTACTTTTGAACTCAGAGAAATTCTTATGCCCCTAATACCAACCTAAACCAAAACTGTCTGAGTAGTAGTATACCTACAAGCTTGCAGTTACAGAGCTTTCTATTAGAGATCAAGGATCATTGAGGCCTCACTGGCTAGGTTGGGTACTTTGACAGATTTAAAAAGATAGTGTGATGAAAAAAACAAAAAAGATAATGTGATGAAGGCAAACTAAGGTGGAGGCAGGAATCATCAGGCCAGCAATACAGAAAGAAATCAAAAGATCTTATTTTCGATCATTGTCTTTCACCTGTTTTCTACACATCAGTAACAGTGGTTCACTAAAATAGTGATTTTTCAATCCTCATAAAAGAGTCTGATTTTTTACATCACTATAAAAGCCTCAGGGTTATTTTTTCATGTAAAGACTAAATCATCATTGTTCTTTATTTACTGCCCCCTAACCCTAGCTGTATTGTAAAACATGTATTTTACAAAGCGTAAAATACAGCTAGGTGTCTCAGTTCCTGCAGTGAGTGTTTTGCTTAACCGTTCTTTATTGAGCTGCTTTTATTATTCCTATAAAAACTTACGAGTGCCTACCGTATACCGTAGAACTTCCCTGTGACGAGTTTAAGCTGGAGCAGCACCAGTGCTGAAGCAGGAAAATCCTGAGAGTAGCCATTGGACAGTGAGGAGCTCCTTTTACTGATAAGCAATCCCCAAGTAATTGGTGCTTGGTTTGTGAGAATGGTTTGCTCTCCTGCCCTTTTCATAATCCTACATGCTAAAGAAAATGAGAATAGGTCCTGTTATAAACAGATCATTTTAAGCAAGAGTGGTGTGACATAAGAATGAAGCAGGTGGCATTTTTATGAGACTATTTAACTTATTGTTTGCTATAACAGAATGATGAAAGGTAGAGTTTTAAATAATTACAATTCACCTTCCAGATATCTTACATATTTGATAGAGCTTTCATTTTTGGTAGACAGGGTTTTTTCATCTTTCAGGAAGTGTTTATTCTTTTTTCAGCTGGGGATTTAGCTCACTGGTTCCACCGCCTGCCTTGAAAACACAAGGTCCTGAGTTCAATCCCCAGTACCAAAAAAGAAAAAAATAGTGGAAAAACATTAAACTATGAGATAGATTTTCATCACTTCTCTGCCTTTTGGCGAAGATCAAGTGTATTTTTTTTTTCACTGTAGCCTGTTTTTTTGGCCTGGGTTTCATATATTATACCATTATTTTTCTATTTCCTAATACTATACTGTTTCTAGGGGAATTACTTGTTAATCTACCCAGGTTGAACTAAATCTGTATGATGATACAGTTTCTTTCTTTCCAAAAGTTCTTTTTAAGCTTCAGTCCTGTACTGACAGATAAAATGTCTCTTTTATTATCCCTAGTTTTCCCAGCTTAGTTGACTGGATTTTAAGACCTCTTAAATGTCATGTTCCTTTAACTATACTTTTCTGATATATCTCACCTATGGTTTCTGTAGTATTTGAGCAAGATAAAAATTCAGCAAATTGAGAAGGACCGAGGTGAATGGGATAGTCTGACCCCAGAAGCCCGCCGAGAGAAAGAGGCTGGCCTACAGATGTTTGGGCAACTGGCACGTTTCCATAACATTATGTCCAATGAAACAATTGGTACCCTTGCCTTCCTAACATCAGGTAAGAAAAGAAAGCCCATCCAGCACCTGCCTCACAAGTTCAAGGTCCCGAGTTCAATCCCTGGTACCAAAAAAAAAAAAATGTAGTAGACAAGATCTGCTGTTACTGAAACTAAGAATTCTCTGGTAACAATATCCTCCACATCGAAGAGGGAAATAAATCACAAGAGAAGTGTCAGAGAATGATGGTGCCCACTATTGACATGCCAGAAGTGTAAGTTGGTAGCACAGCTAGTTTCTTGAGGGAGCTGGGAGCATACCTCACTGATAGACCACATGCTTAGCATGTAGGAAGCCCTGAGTTCAATCCCCAGTACCAACAACAAAAACTTTCGTGAGGATGTTAGCCATATAAATATATGTGGAACATAACATATATATACTGTATGTGCATATATATATGCACACACCTACACATATATACATGTATGTGTGCATATGTTAATCTGAAAAGTATATCAGTCCTGGTTAGATGGAGTGGATCTAAAAAGACATTTATTCCCACTCCCTCTAGAGCTGCACTGTCCCATTCAGTAATCACTTGCCACATGTGGCTGTCAAGCATTTAAAATGTGGCTACTCTGAGTTAAGATGTTTAATAAGTATAAAATCTACACTATAAGGCTCAGCATTAAAAAGAATCTAGGGGCTGGGGATTTAGCTCAGTGGTTCTGTCACCTGCCTCGAAAGTGCAAGGACCTGATGAGTTCAATCCCCAGTACCAAAAAATAAAATTAAATTAAAAAATAAAAAAAATAAAAAGAATCTAAACTATCCAGGCATTTGAGGAAATCCTCTACTGTGAAACATAGATAATAGATGAAAACTTTTAAAATTTCTTTTTAAATTTTATGATCTCACAGGGACAAAGGAAGATACAGCAGCCACAAAACAAGAACAAAAATGGGGAAAAATCATTTAAATAACAAGAAAGAGCTTTGGATATTGAAATTTTACCTTAAAATTTTTCAAATATTCACTAGAAGGATTAGAAAAATAAATTGAAGGAACTGTTCCATGAAAGAAGAACAAAGAAAAAGGAGAGGACAAGAGTATAGATGATGGATCTAGGAAATCACAAAAGCAGAAAATGTAGGAGAAGGAAAAAAATCATACCAAAAAAGACTTAAATAGTCTCTAAGTTGAAAGGATCTGTCACAGAAAGTTTTTTGGTTTTTTTTGGTACCGGGGATTGAACTCGGGTCCTTGCACTTGCAAGGCAGGCGACGGAACCACTGGGCTAAATCCCCGGCCCTCACAGAAAGTTTTTTAAACCCACTCTATGGAACATCATTCTGAAATTTTAGAAAATCATGGTAAAGAGACCCCAAAGAAAGTCACGAAATGTACTATAATTTAAGAATCAAAATGGCAGGGCTGAGGATGTGACTCAGTGGCCTTGCGCCTGCCTGGCAAGCTCAAGGTCTTGAGCTCAATCCCTGGTACCAAAAAAAAGATAATATTTTGACTGGGGATGTAGCTCAGCAGCACAGTGCCTGCCTGGCAAGCACAAGATCCTGAGTTCAATCCCTAGTACCAAAAGAAAAAAAAAAAAAAATCAAAATGGCAAGCCAGGTATGGTGGTGCATGCCAGCACTGAGGAGGCCGTGGATTCAAGGGCAGCTTAGGGTACATAGTGAGTTCAAGGCCACCCTGGAATACATAATGAAATGCAGTCTCTTTTAATTTACAATAGTGACATTTGAAGCTGGGATATATTTCTATGGGAAAGTATTTTTTCAGTCTAGAATCTAATAACCAAGTGAACTACAAATTCTGTTTTAGGGTAAAATATGTTCAGTTTTCTTAGCAGTTTATTTCCTGTGTACCTTTAAGGGGTATACAATACAAGGGCGGCTCAAAGCAGATTCCTGGAATGAGGATACAATGACCTGTAGAATGAGCAGTCCAGGTTGGAGTAAAGGATGGAAACCTCCAAAAAGAATGTTTCCAAAAATTACAGAATAATCAAGAATGACCATATTGCAGTTTTATAATTCTGGTAGACAGTTTGGAAAGGATTTAGTGATAGGTACTGTGAAAATAAGCAAATGAAAAAGATTATATTAAAAAGAAACTGTAAACCTGGAATTATGGCACATTCCTGTAATCCCAGCACTCTGGGAGGGCGAGGCAGGAAGATCACAAGTTCAAGCCCAGCCTGGGTAATTTGATTTGGTGAGACCCTGTCAAAAAAAAAAAAAGGGTTAGGGATACAGCTCAGTACAAACAAAGGCCAGGGGTTCACTCCTACTGGAAAGGTAGGACAGACACCACATGGCTCTGCTGTGAATGATATTTACATAATCTTAATCTAAATTGTTTAGCCAAAACTTTGGTTATTTACTGGGGATTTGTATTTGAGGAAGCAAAGTGGGACAGGAAATGAGAGCTAAATCTTCATCTATAGTAGAGTCAATAAATAATGGATAAAATTTAAAAATCAAGAACAGGGCCAGGGATTTAGCTCAGTGGTTTCCGCCGCCTGCTGCGCATGCACAAGGACCCAAGTTCGATCCCCGGTACCAAAAAAAAGAACAACAGTACTTACCAAGTGTCATCATACCATCTAGCTTACTAAACTTAGCATGTATTAGTTTTTGGTTTTGTTTTTTAAATTTTGGAGTTCATGCCCTGTGACCTAGCAGTTCCTTACAAATTTGTTATGGAGTAATGAGTCTACAGGATATAAACATCTCCTTATCTTCAGGAGATATGTTCCAAGAACCCCCACAAATGTCTGAAACTACTGATAGTACCAAACCTGTATGTACTGTTTTCTCCCTTATGCATATACCTATGATAAAATTTAACTTATAAATTAGGCACAGTAAGAGATTAACAGTAATAACTTACGTAGAATTTAGCAACTCAGCATGTGATTTTTTGCTTTCCTTATTAAGAACTTTTCACCTTTTTCACTTAAAAGAAGCACTTTCTTTCTGGCTTCTCTTTGTGGCATATACATATTGACAGTATCAATACTTTTGCAGTCTGGAGCCATTACTAAGTACAATACAGGTCACTGTGATGTTGACCACAACAGTTCATCTAATGACTAAGAAACCTGCTAATGCATGGGTAATGTGTACACCCTGCACATGCTGGACAAAGGGATGATTTACATCCAAAGTGAGATGGAGCTGGACAGCTCAAGATTTCATCACACTATTCAGAGTATGATTCAATTTAAAACTTAGCTATTTATTTAGAATTTTCCTTTCATCCAGGTGTAGTGATGATACGTGCCTGTAGTCCTGGCTACTCAGAAGAATAGAATTTTCTGTTTAGTATTCTCTGACCATGATTAGCCATGACTAACTTTTTGCTATTCTTTTTTTTTGGTACCGGGGATCGAACTCAGGTCCTTGCACTTGCAAGGAGCCATGACTAATTGAAACTGTGGAAAGAGAAGCAGTGGATAAGGGGAGACTGCTGTATACATAAAGCTCATCAAGGGCTGGGGATTTAGCTCAGTGGTTCCGCCACCTGCCTCACAAGCACAAGTACTGGAGTTCAATCCCCAGTACCAAAAAAAAAAGAAAAAAAGCTCATCAATAAGTAAGACTCAGGAAAAAAATGAAAATGTTCCAAATGTACACCAGTAAAGACAGATATAACTTATGGTGCAGTCACCAACTGGAAAGCTATATGGCCACAGTAAATGACATCAGTTTTACTCTGTAGAATTTTCTGTGATGGTGGGAATGTTCAATAAGTCTGGGCTCTGCAATAGTATACACACCCTTCACATCTCATTGATGAACACTTTACATATGGCTAGTGCAATGATAGCAAATCTTTTAGAGCTTTTTTTTTTTTTTTTTGGTACCAGGGATCGAACTCTGGTCCTTGTACTTGTGCAGCAGGTGGCGAAACCACTGAGCTAAATCCCCAGCCCTAGAGCTTTCAAGGATAACAAATAGCCCACTGAGACATACATGCCATAGGTTCACTGCCACTAAGCTAATGCAACTAAAGAATTGAATTTTTTTTTAATTAATTAATTTAAGCCAGGCATAGTGGCGCACTCCTGTAATCTTAGCACTCAGCTGAGGCAGGAAGAGTTCAAGGCCAGCCTGTGCTGCATAGTGAGTTCAAGGGCAACCTGAACTACAAAACAAGACTCAAAAAAAAAAAAAGAGAAAATTTTATAGAACATGTCACTGGCTACTACATTGGACAGCACAGGGAACATATACTTACTAAAATGTTAAGATATTTATGATACAGTTACTGGAAAAAGTTATAGAATATGTACAATATAATAATCATTTTTGGTTTTAGGATGTATGTTATATAAATATGGCCAGAAAAACTAGACTAATATATAGGAAAATATTAATAGTGTTTATCTCTAGGCAAGTTTTTGTTGTTTATTTTTTTCATGCAGTACTGGGAATTGAGCCCAGGACCTTCATACTGAGGGACATCTCCAGTCCCCTGCCCATTGTTTGAAATTTTGAGACAGGATCTCATTAAGTTGTTCAGGCTGGGTTTAAATTTGTAATTCTCCTGCCTCAACCTTCCAGTCTGCTGGGATTATAGAATGCAACCACCATGCCCAGTTACTGTTTTCTTTTTATTTCTTTTTTCATCTATACTTTCTGCAGTGAAAAATGTATTACTTATGTAACTGAAAAAAATAATAGTCCTGAGATCTCCAAGTAAATTAGACATAAATAAAAAATTATAATGCATTGAATTTTCAGAGACTTTATTTTTTTCCAGAGATCAAATCCCTCTTCGTGCATCCATTCCTGGCTGAGCGCATCATCTCCATGCTGAACTACTTCTTGCAGCACCTGGTTGGCCCCAAGATGGGCGCCTTAAAAGTGAAGGACTTCAGTGAATTTGACTTTAAACCCCAGCAGCTTGTATCGGATATCTGCACTATATACCTGAATCTTGGGTACATGAAATTGGAATTGGCCAAATAAGAGAGGATGCTAGTGTTTTGATAATAGAATGACTGGTTGGCTATTATGTGGAAACAGAAAATAAATGGTCATTTCCAGTTGATTGATGAAGGAATCTTCTGTAGTTTTGAATAAAGATATTTTGTATAATCTGTGGGACATTGTTGAGGATTTCCAACATTCTCCTTGACCTGTGCGAAGATAAACTTTACTGGTTATCCTAGTGTTTGGGAAAGTAGTGTTCTTTTACACCCATGGGATAATTGATAAAGTCCTTCCTAGATAATCAAAAGTCTTTCTAGATCAAAAGAACATTCATGGCTTATAAATGATGACAGTGACTATTCTCAGACCCATCTCTTATCTCTCCACTGACCTACTCTGATACGTAGTTTCTTTCTCCTACTGACCTTCCAGGGATGAGGAGAATTTCTGTGCCACTGTGCCCAAGGATGGACGTTCCTATTCCCCAACTCTCTTTGCACAGACAGTACGAGTCCTGAAAAAAATAAATAAGCCCGGAAATATGATAGTGGCTTTCAGCAACTTGGCAGAGAGAATCAAGGTGAGAGGGAAGTGAATTTGTTTGCTCCTATGTCCAATTAAAAAAAAAAATCTTTGACTTTGCTGTGCTTTTTTTTTTTTTTCCCTATTGCAGGGAGATAAAGAGCACTGCCTTAACAGATGATTTTCCCTTGTCAGTCAATAATTAAAAGTTGTTTTTATTAAACATTACTCTTACATATAACAGCAAGAATAGAAATTAACATTTCTATTAGAAGAAAAGAATGTATAGGGGCTGTTTTTATGAGAACTTTTACATCCACAATTACCAGTAGATTTTAAAATCTGGAATATTAATACAGAACTTTTTAGAATAAAATTTCAAGATGAGTAGTTTTTAGTCAATGATTTGTATTGATTTTCTGTGCTCTCTACTTTTGTAGTTGGTAGTTGGTGTACCTTTTAGAGGTTAAAACACTATATTGTATTCAGCTAATCCTTTTGGTTGGAGTATGACAGAGATCTATTAGAAGCGGTGAAAAAAGCTGGCATGGGGACACATGCATAAATCCTGCACTCTGGGAAGCTGAAGCAGGAGGATCACCAGTTTGAATCCTTGTCTCCAAATGAAAAATAAAAAGGACTGGGGATGTATCTCAGTGCAGAGGTCCTAGGTTCAATCCCTAGCACTGCCAAAATAAAATAGTGATGAAGAAGGAAGAAAAGTCTAATAGAAAACACTCTTTATTGATATCAGTCTTCTCTCACTGACTTGTTGGTTTTATTTTTTTGAGGTTTTTGTTTTTGAGACAGGGTCTCATTGTGTCACCCCAGACTCATGATCCTCTTGCCCCAGCCCCTCAAGTGCTGGGATTACAGTCTGCACTACCATACCTAAGCAGTTTCTTTTTTATTGAGTTGGACTTCATCTTGGCCTAGAGCTTAGGAACATGAATCTCTAGGAACTAGATTTGTATAGGAATCACATGTTGAGGCCACTTTTAAATTCTTATACCTGTCTGTACCAAAACTGAGAAGGTGCTTTTCATATACAGACTGCACGAGTGACTCTGTAATTATGCAAATAATAACCCTCCTTCCCTATCCCCTTTGGAATTACGGCATTTACAACAGAACTGTTGCCAGAAAGACATGTGGGGTGCTGCTTTTCTGCTAACACTTAAACCCATTTCCAGTTGTGACTGCCAGCTGAGCCAACTTGAAGTTCAGAGTTGGGCTGAAATGCTAAATTTGCTCCCAAAATATCTGTCTTGGCTTGTTCTTTAAAATAAAAACAGCTAAGGACCAGGGATTTAGCTCAGTGGTTCCGCCACCTGCCTTGCAAGCGCAAGGACCCAAGTTCGATCCCCGGTACCAAAAAATTTTTAAAAACAGCTAAAATTTCTCATCACTGCTAAGAGCTATTAATGACAAAGATTAAGGGATAGCCATTGAGCATTCTAAGTTCAGCTGTACTGTGAACTCTCTGTAACTGCCAGATGTTGTATTCTCAGTCTCTTGCAGATCTCCAGCAACAGGAAGAGGAGACCTATGCAGATGCCTGTGATGAGTTCCTGGATCCCATCATGAGCACACTGATGTCTGATCCTGTGGTGCTGCCATCTTCCAGAGTCACTGTGGATAGGTCCACCATTGCCAGACATTTGCTCAGGTATGCCAGTCCCAAAATGAGGCACACTCCTGTAATCTCAGCATTCTGGGAGGCTGAGGCAGGAGGATCACAGGTTTAAGCCCAGCCTGGGCAACTTAAGCACTTGGCAAGAGCCTATCTCAAAATAAAAAATAATAAAAAGGGCTGGGGATATAGCTCAGTAACAAAAGCCCTAGGTTTGATTCCCACTATTGCAAAAAAAGAAAAAAGAATTCTATCGATATATAAGATATATCAGCATGGTGCTTGCTTCGGCAGCACATATACTAAAATTGGAAAGATACGTCAACATGAAATATAAATTGACCTGAAATTGTTTTGGGGTTTTTGTTTTTTTCCTGTGGTACTGAGAATTGAACCTTAGGTCCTGGCTTCTAATATTTAGGTACTGACCTTGTCTCAAAATTTAAAAAAATAGGGCTAGGGATTTAGTTCAGTGGTTTCACCACCTGCTGTACAAGCACAAGGACCCAAGTTCAATCCCTGGTACCAAAAAAAAAAGAAAAGAAAAGAAAATTCTAATTTTGGACCGGGGATTTAGCTCAGTGGTTCTACCACCTGCCTCGCAAGCTAAGGACCCGAGTTCAGTCCCCGGTACCAAGAAAAATAATAATAAAAAAATTAAAAAATAACAAGGACTTTCTCAGCATAAAGGCCCTGGTTCAATTCCCAGTACAAAAAAAGAAAAACAGGGCCGGGGATTTAGCTCAGTGGTTCCGGCGCCTGTTTCACAAGCACAAGGTCCCAAGTTTGATCCCCAGTACCAAAAAATAAAAATAAAAAATAAAAAAATCTAAAGGCTAGTGACAGAAAGATAGCATTTTTTGTTATTGTTTTTTGTTTGTTTTTGTGGTACCGGGGATCAAACTCAGGACTTTGTGCTTGCAAGGCAGGTGGCGGCACCACTGAGCTAAATCCCCAGCCCAAGATAGCATTTTTTAAGCTGCTAGAATCAAATATCCTCTGAACAGCAGTGTTAAAATAAAGTTCTTAAAAGGCAGAGAGACAAAGTGGCTGGAAAAACTCCTAGATCATTCTTTTTCTCATCTCATTCTAACACCCAAGTCAGCATTTGACTTAGTTATAATGCACTTAATCTAGCTTCATTTGCAGTTGAAATGAGGTGCCTAGTTGTTCTATTTTTGGCTTAGGATATTAGAACTTATAGAAATAACCACAATTCCTTTTCTCTCTTTATTCCCAGTGACCAAACAGATCCTTTTAACCGTAGTCCCCTCACCATGGACCAGATCCGGCCAAACACTGAACTGAAAGAAAAAATTCAACAATGGCTTGCAGAAAGGAAGCAACAAAAGGAGCAACTTGAATAAATACTGTGAACTAAACAAACCAAAAGCCAACCCCAAGTGTAGATAAACAATTGTCGTGGTCTCCCTCTTTCTGGTTCTGTTCCTTTCTTTTCTATTTTTTCCCCTCTTCACCAAATTAAAGAACTACTCTTGGTCAAATTATGATAATTATGATTCCTAAGAACTTGTCAACACTTCCCTGGCTTGCAGTAAAATACACTTTCTTATAGTGTCACCGAGTTTAGAAACCATCACTAATTTTCAGCCTTTATTCTCTTTTCTCACTTTAAGTTATATTTTTAAGTCGTGTCACATATTTCAGTGACAGCTTAAATCAGAAAAATCTGTTATTCTACATACTTACTAGTCCTCATAATTTGGACTTAAACCCTTGTTATAGTTCTGTAATGTTACAGAATAACATAAAAGCAAATACGTTCATGTTTGTGCAGACTTTTGAATGACAGGTAAGTTTTTTTTTAAAGGAATCTTTTGCAGCTTCTGCTGGTAGCTTTTAATTTTGTTATATTGTAACTCAAAGATATCATCATAGTGGGCCAGAGATTTAGTTCAGTGGTTCCGCCACCTGCCTCACAAGCCCAAGGTCCTGAGTTTGATCCCTGGTACCAAAAAATATATATTTATCTGTATAGATATATATCATCAGATGCTTTCTCATGAGGTTGTCACCACCAAAAATGTAGCCCTGCAATCTTTTTATGGGGATTAGTAATGGCACATTTGCCATCTTGACACTTTAGTCAAAAAAATTCTGGGGTGAGGGAATAAATGGAAGCTGTTGGGTATTTTATCTCTTATGGAAATTCTGTTGCTACAAGGAGTAACCCTAAGCAGAAAACTTAGGCAACAAATATTGCAATCACAAAAAATGTCATTTTAAGACACTATATCAGTAGTATATCTCAGTATGTATTATGCATATACACATGCACACTTACCATGTGCTTTTTTATATTGGTCTATTGTAAACTAATTACCACTTTATATTATCTTCTCATGGTAAGATGTAAACTGTGTGGCCATGCTTACTCATATACTCTAGACAAGTAAAATTCTGAGACTATAAAATGTATATAATTTTTGTTTAGGCTGTGATCTGACTTGTAAGAGCTGCTTCTAACATAGCCTTAGATCATCAGTTAAAAGCAGAAATGGGAGCAAAACCTTATCTACAAGCCATTTTAAATATCCACTTATCCCTGAGTAGTTAGTAAGCAGATGGGACCTCCTTTTGTAGGCTTAGCCTGAACTCTCCAATTTAACCTGTTGAGTGAGCCACATTCCCCAGTGGACCATCTTTTTATCAGTGTCCATCTAAGCCCAGAGATATCATGATAAGGGACAAGAAAAGTGATTTAGAAATAGGGGTCAAATATATTTTTATGATATTCCAACACAAGTTGCTATAAATGGTCTTTGGTATGTTTTGATGGTATCAGCTGGAAAACCTCAAATCTAAGAGGGCCTCCTAGCCCGGTTATAAAATAGATACTACCTATCGCTGTGCTTATAAACGAAAAAGGACTGGGACACTTTTGCATATGCCAGAATGTAAGATTGAATTGTTGTGCTTTCTCAGCCTTTAATGGGTGTACTGACAGGATTTATTTTCTTAAAATGAACTTTGTTTCATATTTATTCTCCTCTTGAAAATGAACTGTGTATAAAATAAGTTTCTGCCTACTTGCATTTATCTTCCCATCCCAATCTAATAGTGTCATTCTAAAAGGAAAAGAGGAAAAGACCAGAGTTTTACAGGAGAAAATTAGAAGAAAATGGGCACAAAACCTCAAAAAGCAGCTGTTTCCAGCAGCTTTCTAGCTAACAACCTCTATGCTGCCTCTGGTGTCTGTATTGTATTTCTGTAATTAACCTTCAGATTGTAAGCCTCTTGTGGCAAGCATTATTGTTTTTTTGTTTTTTATAAAGCTCTTTTCCTGAGACTTTATGAATGGCTGTGGCAGCATTCATGCTGCTGATATCTTTAAATACATCACAAAAGCAAGTGTGTACCTGAGTTTGATCCCCGGTACCAAAAAAAAAAAAAAAAGCAAGTGTGTAGCCAAAGGCCACTACTAGTAAAGAAACCAAGTGTCCTCTGTGCCTTCTTTCTTCAAAGTAGCTTAGGAACATCTGAAAAAGTGAGACTTAAAAAAAATCCCATCTCAATACATGGTGCATATGTGCATTTAGAAGTGTAGAGAGGTATTTTGTCTGGAACTCAGCAACTCTAAATCTTTTTAAGAGTAGACTTTCTATGGGCCAGGGATTTAGCTCAGTGGTTCCGTCGCCTGCCTCGCAAGTGCAAGGACCCGAGTTCGATCCCTGGTACCAAAAAAAAAAGAGTAGACTTTCTGGGCCTGGAATTTAGCTCAGTGGTTCTGCCGCCTGCCTTGAAAGCACAAGGCCCTGAGTTCAATCCCTGATACCCACCCCCACCCCCCAAAAAAGTGGACTTTCTGATATACCTGGTTTTATGTGTTCACTTTGCTGGAGTATGATAGAAAAATGAAGACTTTTTAATCAGCTCCGGTATTGCTTACATCTTACAAAGAGGCTAATAATAAACTGGGAAATTATTTAAGTGGGTTTTGCCAAGCAGTGTCATGGGATTTTTTTTTTTTGGTATAGTTTTTAGTGAATATATGAAATCTGAAGGAAACTAGAGGTTTGTTTTTTTTCTTTAGAGGTATTTTAATGATGCAGGTGAAGGTGCCAGTTGCTGTTCAGTATCACTCTCTACAAAAGCTTCATTTATTTGATGCTGGTTGCTAAGCACCCATTGAAGAGTATAAATCTACTGGGGACCTTTACAAGCCAGAGGCTGATACTACACTGTTGTCATGCAAGGAATTAATGCACATGCTCTAACTGCTAAATAGGAAAAGAACCTAAAAAAGAAAAAGAAAATGAGCAAAAAAAAAGGTTGACAAATAAAACTTGATCAACATAATGGTATTTTTGAAACATTCCAGGAAGCTTACTTTTTGTCAAACTTGCCTGGGGGTTGTTTGTTCAAAACTTGTATTTAATAAATGAACACCTGAATTACAACCTTTGTAATCACTTTTATTACATATTAAAAGCTAATAGTTTTAGAAATTAACTTGAATACCCAGAGGACTCTGACTTCCTTTTTTTTTTTATTAGGTAGGTAGGTAGTATCAAATGTGTGTAACTTGCCTGACCTGCTCACCAGGTCTCTGGAGGGGACCCTGGAATTATCCTCAGATGAGTCTCAAGGTATACTTTTTTCCTAATTAGCTCCCTTTGGCTTCACTTTTCCTTATCTGGCCTAAACCCCAGGCCTTTTAATCATTGGCTACCATGTTCCCATTTCTTGCCCATTGTTTCTATATTCCTGCCAGGCAAAACCTTAGCCTAAACTAACTCAGCCTTACCTTTTGCTCCACAGCCAAGTTACAGACTAGGATGAAAACAACACAATCACTAGAATGGTGCAACCACAAATTTGTGGTCTCTAACATTGCCCAACAACCCTTCTGTGTGTCCTTCGACTATTCCAAACTAATCTCTCTTCAAACTCTTCTTAGCATCCCATTTACTCTTCACACTCAGATGGCACTGCCTTCTGCTTCACTGGCAAATACTTAAGTTAGCACTTCCAAACTTTTCTCCCATCACCACCTGTTAAAAAGGCCCCACCATTCCCAGGCCAATACCTTCAGCTTTTTTGCCTCAGAGCACAACAGTTTCCCTTCTTTATAAATTTCTTCCTTGAATTCCACATTCCCCTTTTGTATTCCTTTACAGCCATATTTCTTCACATTCACTCTGCCTTCTATCCTAATTTTTCGAAACTGTTCTAGTTAATGTCATATTGCTTAATTAACTTTCCTGTCCTCGATTTGACTACTCTGCAGTACCTAAGGCATTAAATCACTCCCTCATGGCCCAGGGATTTAGCTCAGTGGTTCCGCCGCCTGCCTGGAAAATGCAAGGTCCTGAGTTTGATCTCCAGTATCAAAAAAAAAAAAAACACTCCCTAGTTGAAATACTCTTCGCGCTTTTGATGTCACTAATTTTTCTTTCTGCCTCTCTAACCATTCCATCAGTTTTTCTTCTGCTCAGGCTGCTCCAGAATACATTACTTACAGTTCGGTGCTTTTCATCAAACGTCACTTCCTTACATCTTTTGATCCAATGACACTAAACTACAAAGTTTCAGCTTTCCGTAGTATGTAGCTGTTCTCTTACACATCAACTCATGGATCTCTCGATCTTTCCAGATCACCGTCATGCCTTATCTGAATTATGTTCCCCTTTGCGTTTAGGCTGCAACCTCTTTAGATCCCAACTCTTCCACTCCATCGTTACGTGGACACTTAGAGGCCTCGGGGACAATACTCAACACAGAGGCTTTCGTTAAATTCCAAAATACCTGGCATATCGGAACCCCTCAGTAAATGTGATTTTGTTCCTCACAGCTGCATTGCTCCTTGTGGCTAGTTAGGAAATTACGACTATTAGATTCTAATAGGATACGGGGGAGAATGCGATTACAAAAAAGTCAACTAAAGAAAGGAACCGAGGCCGAGCATGGTGGCGCATGCCTGCAGTCCCAGCACTTGACGGGCTAAGGAAGGTGGACTGCCCCGAGTTCGAGGCCAGCGTGGGCTACATAGTGAGGTCAAGCCAGCCTGAATTGCATAGCGACACCCTGTCTCAAAAACAAGGAAGTGGGCTGAGTCTGATTACTTGTGTAATGCCTGCATCGCATCTAACTTTATATATTAGGCCGTGGGCCTCTCCTTTTATAAAGCGCGTGTTGGACCAAGAGGGTCTCACCAGTGCCTTCCGTTCCCTCAAAAGCTGTGGGGAGTCCCTAACCCGGAGCAAAGGTTTGGGCCCAGAAAAGCATGCGCGCATGCGCATTTCCTACCGCGTCCGCATTCCGGGCTCCATGAGTAGCTGCCCCAAGACATGCCTGTTTCGATGTTGAATACCACTGCTTTCCATCAGTTCTCTAATCTCATTTTTCCCCATCTTCTTTCTCCTTCTGAACTAAATAAACTAGACTAATTGGCTAGATTCCGCAAGGATACCAAAACACCTGAACATTTTGGACGGGCGTGGAAAGGGGCGGCCTGACCTTAGAAGTTGGACGGGGTCTTGCAGCGGGTCCTTCGCGGGGGTGACATTCAGCTGGCCGGTGAGGCGATTGCCTTACCGCCCTAGAGCCATGGCCCAGTTCGTCCGTAACCTCGCGGAGAAGGCCCCGGCGCTGGTGAACGGTGAGCACTGCCTGAGACTGCCAAGGCGGGTACACGGGCGACGGGGAGGCTGGCGGGGCTCCGGGGGAAGAAGCAGGCTGCTGTGATCCGAGGCAAGCTGGAGCAGTAGGCGGGGCGGGACGGCCTGAAGGTGCAGAGAGCAGGAGGCAGGTTTGAGGCCGTCCTTTGGCCCTCTTCTTGCCTGGCCTACTGCTCGGCTCTCTTTACACCTTAGAAGTTGCTGAATTATAACCACTGCAGGAAAGAGGTAATGTGAAGGAAGCCCGGAGTTGCCGAGCAGCTGCCGCCACGACGCCCACTTAGATCTCTTAAGATCTGGAATACCAAAATGATGGCTCTTTTAGGAGAACTGGAAAAGCAAGGGCAGAAAGTATCAGGTGATGTGGTTCCTGATAGACTATTTGAAAGTCAACAGAAATGTTTAAGGATTTGTGCGCTTTGAACGTTGAATGCTGACAATTTTTGCTCTGGTCCTAGGGAAATTTTAGGTGGAATTGGACTTTATGGATGAGTATTCCAGTCCTCTATAAGCATGAAAAGATATTCGTGAGCTAGGCATGGTGGTGCACGCCTATAATTCCAGCACTCTGGAAGCTGAGGTAGGAGGATTGCCGCGAGTTTGAAGCCAGCCTGGATTATAGAGTGAGTTCAAGGCCAACCTGAACTACACAGGGAGACCCTGTGTCCAGAAGAAAAACAAATTATTCATATAAACAATCTTTTTTAGTATAGGAGCATACACGAATTTTTTTTTTCAGTTTGAAGAATCTAACTAGTAGACCCCGTATTTCAGAACAGCCCTGAATAATCATAAGCCTGAATAGTAAACTGTTCTGTCAGTAAATATTTCATTTGCCTTCTGAACAGTAAGTTACTAATTTTATTCCTGAAGGGAGGTAAATTGATGTAAGTTTCTTCACTAGATGTGGTTTTGTGTTTTGTTTGTTTTTGTTTTTTGAGACAGGATCTCCCTATCAAGTTCAGGCTGGTCTTGAACTAACTAGGTAGCTTAGGCTAAGAACTCACAGCTGTCCTCCTGCCTCAGCCTCCCAGGTGCTGAGATTACAGGCATGCGCCACCATGCCTGGCCAGATGTGGTATATTGTTTGAAGGTAAAATCTCTAAATTGCTTTCATTGTGAAATATGAGTAGAAAGCAGAATTTCAAATAATACAGGTAGTGTTTTTGAGCATATTTTGCTATGTTTGGTATTTTAAAAATTAATTCCCTCCTCTTTTCACTCCATCATCAGACAAACAGTGAGATATTGAAGACCTTACAATGCCATGTACTGTTGATTCTTGATTGCTTCCTCTTACAGGTCAGATCTCTTGACCGTCTCAGATCTAATAGTGAGACAGCTTATCCACTATCTCACTGCAGTCTAGTACATAGACTGTGTTTTATATAGTCTGCCAACGGACTTCTCATTTAGAACTTTCGAGTTAAGGAGAAGGCTTCATTCTTTGAGTGTTGAGTGATTTGAGGCATAGTTTTTAATATTTCAAGTGGATTTTTTTTTTTTTTAATACCAGGGATCGAACTCGGGTCCTTGCGCTTTCGAGGCAGGCAGCGGAACCACTGAGCTAAATCCCCGGCTCAAGTGGATTTTTGACCTACCATTGTTTTCACATCTTTTAGGTCAGTGGTGGCGAATCTATGGCACGTGTGCGAGTTTCTATCACTGTTTCTATCACTGAAAGTTCTAAAAGGTTCACCATCACTGCTCTGGGTGGTGCATTTTGGGGAACTGAAAACTAGTCTGTAATAAAATCCAAGAAGGGCTGGAGATTTAGCTCAGTGCACTATGCCTGCCTTGCAAGCATAAGGTCCTGAGTTCGATCCCTGGTACCAGGAAAAAAAAAATCCAAAAAGAAAAATAATGTCAAAATTAATTTTTGTTACTCTTCTAGAAGTACCTAGAAAAGAGGACTCAGATGGGACCAGAATGTTAAAGCAGAGATACATTTTGCTTTATATCATAGACCTGTGTATTAAATGTGAATGTTAAATGCTTGATAAATTACCAATTATGTCTGTCCATTCCCTGGAAGACAAAGAAGCTTATAGAAACAAGTAATTTTATCAGATTTCCCAAGAAAGATTATGACAGTCTGATTTTCCCCTTTACCTAAAGTGTACAGTTTACTTTAATTTCACCAATTTTTCCTTTAATCACTTTCAATCCCAGGATCCAATGCAGGACCTCACATTACATTCAAGTTGTCATATCTCTCAGTCTCCTCTCATTCATGATGATTTCAATTCTTTATCTTTCATGACTCTGACTTTCTTGAGGTATCTATCTAGATATTCTGAAGAATATTCCTCATTCTGGATTTATCGGGTATTTCTCTTGGGATTAGTCTGGAACAGTGGATTTTGAGAAAATACCACAGAGATGAGGTGCCCTAATGGCATATCAGGAGGTATCTAATATCCATGTGACGTCACTGATGATACAAGTTTCATCCCTTGGTTAAGATAACATTTGATAGGGCCAGGGATTTAGTTCAGTGGTTCCTCCGCCTGCCTCACAAGCGCAAGGTCCAGAGTTCAATCCCCCTTTCAAAAAGATAACATTTGATAGGTTCTTCCACTGTAAAATTATTTATTTTCCCTTTCCCTGTCTATTCTTTAGAAGTAACAATGTCTAGTCCATGAGGTAAGGTTTACAGCCCCCAGGTGGGAGTGGGTCCATCTGTTGTATAAAGGAGTTTCTGGCTGGTGTAGCAGTGCACACCTGTAATCCCAACAGTCGAAAGGCTGAGGCAGGAGGATTGCCAGGGGTTCAAGGCC